AAGTTTTAGTAAAGAGAAAAAAAATTCAGCATTCTTAAAGATTATAAATAGGTGCTAGTACAGAAAAAAAGGACAGGGTTTAATGCATTTGCCTCGTACACAACTAACTCTTTGTTTGTCTCTAGCACTCAAATGGTTCCCTCCAGAGTATCTAGTGACTCTTAAACACAGAGATAGAATACCTAAATACCAAATGACACCCTTTGGGACCCTCCATCCTCAAATAGGGCTGGGGAGCTAGAGATGGTATAGGAGATAAGAGTCATCCCTTTCACATGGGCATTTTCATGTGTAGTCCTGGAAGTCCTCAAGCACCGAAGGGTGGCCAGAATAATCTCTGACATTACAGGGTTCAACAGCACCACATTCTAAAATTGAATCAGCATCCAGATTGGATGTGAATTGTCTTGGGGGCCATTTGGGCTTCCTGAGCATTGCTTGAGAGATACCAATTTCAAATTTTTAATTATCAACAAGACATTAATCTAGTACTCACAGTATACAACCTACTTCTAATGCCCTGAATCATTTTAGAAAATCTGTTACATTTACAATTTGTTATGTTATGCAGGCTGGAGCTATAGCACAGCAGTAGGGCATTTGCCTTGCACACAGCCGACATGGCTGACCCGAGTTTGATTTCTCTGCCCCTTTCGGAGAGCCGGCAAGCTACTGAGAGTATCTCGCCCACATGGCAAAGCCTGGCAAGCTACCCGTGATGTATTCAATATGCCAAACACAGTAACAAGTCTCACAATGTTACTGGGCCCACTCGAGCAAATCGATGGACAATGGGAGGACAGTGACAGTGACAGTTATGTTTACAAGCTGATATTGAGACTGAAATTTCAATTTAGAGTTATTTGCTTACATTGAAGCCTTGTTTGCTAAATGTAGAAAGAACTCAGAATCTTGATGAATACAAAGAAATCAATGAAAAGTTATAGGATTATATCAAAATCTCAGCCTTATATACTATAAAATCATGTTCTGATATGCCTGTGCCACTGGGTGATCTTCTACAAATCATGTGACTCCTTTAAAATTTTAGTATCTCCAGCTGTAAATCAAACTAACAATACCTGCTTTATGGGTTTGTTGAAACTACTAAATGGAAATAAAGTTTTTTATAACATTTCTAATAAATTATAGAATGCATAAAAATAATTTCTTCCACATGGATGTAAGCAGGTAGATAGGAAATGGTTCCATGGCAATGGGATACCTAGGAAGTAATGAAAACAATAGCCCTGAGGCTGCAAAAAACCCACCTTGCAGACACAGGAACTAAGGTTTGATAAGACTAACTGGCATCAACAGACCCAGAAAAGGCTGGACCTCCCTACGAGAGAAGCTCCAGCAGAAAAAAGGCCAAGAATTTTTTGTTTTGGGTCACACCCGGCAATGCAAAGGAGTTACTCCTGGCTCATGCACTTAGGAATTACTCCTGGTGGTGCTCAGGGTACCATATGGGCTGCTGGGAATCGAACCTGTGTCAGCCGCATTCAAGGCAAATACCCTACCTGCTGGTCTATTGCTCCAGCCCGGAAAGTAATTTCAAAGAGGACCAATGACCACTCCCAAGTCTACCCCTCTGGCAGCCACCCTAGCAACAGACTCTTACCTAGGTAGAAGTCTCACAGTAGAAGCACAGTGGGAAAACCTATAAAAACTACCTTGAACAAAGGAAGGGTGTGTATATGTTGCCTGAGCCCATGTGCTGCTTGTGCCCATGTGGCTGAGTACTTGTGGTGCCTTATCATATGTGTTGCCGACATCTCCCTTCTTGAGATGTGTACCAGACCTCGGTCATTTGGAGAAACCCACGATCTTTCTCCCAAGCTTTTTATACTCTCTACCTTTTCTCTTCTCCTTTCTCTTCCTAAAAGACTCCAAATAAAGGCTGTTTTCACTTCATTGCTCATCTCTTTCTGAAGTTCTTTTCTGTGAGATAGGGCACAGACCTCTAAGGTCTGTGTAAGGTCTAAGACTGGTTTTCCTTTCCCTCAAAGAGCAATTCCTTACTCCAGCCTCAGTCAGTGACTACCCAAGAAACTGGGTGGTGGGGTTTAACTCCCATGCTGAGAAGACCAAACAGACTAAGCTATGGCTTGATGGCCACCTCAAGGGCTGGCAGGACTCTGTGATGCACAGGGTCTCCTGGAAGACTTTATAAGTACTAGCCTTCCCAGCTGGTCCTGGGGTGGCAGAAATGGATCCGGAGAAAGTATCTCCTCTCTGTATCACATAAGCCAGCTATGAAGGGCCACCAACTTCAACATCAACACAAGGTACACTTTTAGAATCTGAACCCTTTTAGAATCTGAAAAGATCAAGTGATATGGGACATCATTATTCCCAGGTGAGAGTTTTACAATGGCTACAATATTAAAAAATATTTAAAAAGAAAAGTCATTAAGTCAGGAGAGATAGTAACAGAGGGTAAGGTACCTTGAATACTGCCAACCCCAATTCAAATCTCCAGCACCATACGTAGTCCCCCAAGAACATTCAGGGGTCACTTCTGAGTATAGAGCTAGATACCCTGACCACTCCTTGGTATCCAAAGCAAACCAAAACAAGTTAAAGCAAAGCAGAAGACCATATTAATATGGAAATAGAGCAAAGGACCATTGGTCCTGCTTCATCTAGTCCTGATTCTTAGGACAGTTAAAATTTCACACTAGTTTTATTAGCAGTTTGTTTTCAATGAATGGAAGCTCTAGGAAGAAACTCTGAGTCCATTCTAAAAATCTTCAAAATGATACAACTCTACAATAGGACCACATACCCATAAATAGATCTTTAGAACAGAGGCAATGAATGTATTTTTATAAGCAGAGAAGCTTAGTAAACACATAATACTCTGAAATTCATTCAACAATAAATCATCACAATAAATGTATTATTTTATCATTGACTCCCACTTTACAGATTAGGAAATAGCGATTAAATGATAAGGCCTAAATATTAGTGTATTACTAGACTTGAGGGCCAGAGCGATAGAATAGCACTTAGGGCGTTTGCCTTGCACACAGCTGACCTGGGTTTGATTCCTCTGCCCCTTTTGGAGAGCCCAGAAAGCTACTGAGAGTATTCTGCCCACACAGCAAAGCCTGGCAAGCTCCCCGTGACGTATTTGATATGCCAAAAACAGTAACAAGTCTCACAATGGAGATGTTACTGGTGCCCACTTGAGCAAATTGATAAACAATGGGAGGAAAGTGACAGTGACAGTGACTAGACTTGAAGAATATTGCAGAGCAGTATCACTGGTAGTTTATAGCACAGATCAGTATATCACTTTTATAAAATCTCTGCATATGACATACTACGTAGCTATATTGTAAGCACAGAGTAGGTAGGATAAATGGCAAGAAAACAACCAGGAGAATCCACTCAATCACAGAATTTTAACATTCCAATTTCTTGACGTATTATGTTTACTCAAAATAAACTTTGTCTGACTTCAAAACTCCTGTATTTGAGATGGTACTGTTAAGACATCTTTCCAGTCTCATTGACATCAATGCAATTACAGAAAAATTATCTTGTGACTTAAAACCTTTTCTAAGTTTAGTTTATTTATTCTAGTTATATCAGACAAAATATAAAATAGAAAAATCTGTTATAAAGTGTTATCAATGCTATGGGCTTAGTACTAGAATTCTTAATTCCTTGCATATGAAGAAACTAAGACTAGAAATGGCATTAGCTTTGTCCATTATTATTTTACAACAGATAAAAGTCACACAATTAACAAGTGTGAAATTGAGAATCGAATTTTTTTTACTTGACTCTCAAACCTAAATCACTATTCACCATTCTACAAGACTATATATAGTGATGCAAATCATTTTAAGTAAGAACAATTTTAGGGTTATATGATAAGTTTCAACTATTGACACATCTATGTGTGAATAAATAATGTTCCTGGCAAAGAATGATTAGCAAATTCAAAATACATCTATCAAGGCTACTGCCATAATTCTTAGTGTCTTTTGCGTCATTTACAATGACCAACACATTCTATTTGTCATTTTAATAATAATTCCTAAAATTTTAAAAGGATGCCATTCTAAAACATTTTTAAATATTTTAAGCCTAAGATGGAAAATGTTTTTTCCATTTTCTTTGAAGTTCTTAGGCTCAAAATAAAAAGTAAAATTAGATTAATAACTTAATCTCCTCATCCCACCTTTAATTAGAAATATGAGACACCTTGACAATTTCTAACAAAAGCAATTTAAATATCAGAACATAGAATATATGTTATTTAATATTATATACTATAATTTATTTCTTTATTATGAATAAGATATAAATATGGTTCATGAGAAAAAGATAACAGAACCAGACATTACAGAACATTCCAGATGTTAGAAGGGGAGAGAATGAAAGGTAGATGAACAGCGAACATTGAAATAGAATAAGGTAGAGAAATTACACACAACCAAGCTCCACAGATAAGAAAGATGATAGTTAATTGCTACACAGTAAATTATTCAGTAACGAGGAACTAAGCCCAGGACATAGGTTTTCACTATTTTATCTCACCATTTTATGACTTTCTTATATTTCAAAGCTATTTTCTGCCTTAATTTTCCTAGAATAATCTTTAGATATTGATGGCATACCAGAGGAAATGAGAGAGGCTTACTGTCATCCAAAATGAACACAATGCGTCTCTATAAGGATCAGATAAATTCCAAAACTATTATAAATAGCTACAGCCTCTAATTTTTAGTCTTTACATAACAATAAGTCTTTCAATTATATGTTAAACACATTCATTTTATAATTGTCCATATATTTGATTATTGGGTCTCTGATGAATATAAAAGCATGTATTTTCAAGTTAAAATTGTTATAAAGATAGAAAAGTGATTTATTTGTGTGCTTCAAATATATTCAAGCAATCTATTTTGCTTTTCGACATATGTCAAACTGAGTTATTGTTTGCTATTGCTGATATGCTCCAGACCCCGATAACTCAGTACCTGTTGTCTATCCAGACGCATCCTCTTGGCAGCATTTCTGCTCTCACTTTCACAGGCCGAAGCCAAGATACTCTCGGCAACTGCTGAAGTAAGGTGGGAAGGAATAGGTCGAGACTAAAAAAGAAAGAGAGAAAAAAAATGAAAAACTTATTTACACTATCATAAAGAGATGAATTATGTTCTCAGAAGAGTTCACAGGATGTGCAGGAGTATCCATTTATTTCAACTGAACTTAATTCAATAGAAAGAGGAAATGAAAGTTGCAAAGATGAAAAATGAAAGGTAGTTAGAGGTTAAAACTAGAATTGCATCACAGATACATCATTCATTGCCATTGTTCCACTGTCACTGTTTAGTCTGGACCATTAAGCTAGAGTTTGACAAGATAGTGACAAAACTGCTGACCAGAATTTACCAATAAAACAAGTACTTTAATTCTTTTTTCACATATGATAATGCACAACAAAACAAGTGGCAGGGCTGAAACATAGTTGAACTGGAAAACTGACACTTAGACTACGTAAAATAACCTAGATTAGTTGTGATACAGTTGGCTGGATTTTAAAATCCTTTAAAATAGGTTAGGTTAGTTTAAAAACAAACTAAGAAGTCAATCTTAGAAAAATTTTGAGAGAAAATCTGATTAAATTGTGTGTATCTACATGCATTTATAAGGTGAATTGATACTAACTTAATAGGTGCAAGTTTGAAGTCCATCTTCTATGTATCCCACATAGAAATTAATTAACCCCCAACTAAGTTCCTAATTAACTACAAAGTATTTGCAACTCTCCACATCATTTGTGATAATCAGAAAAGTTTTCCATTCTTTTTCCCATAATGACATACAAATTCGTCTAACTGAAGGATGAAATTCTTAATGATATTGAACATTTTATTGAATCAAAATAAATTGTAAATACAAATTAAACCAGATGAAATAGAAAAATATGAAACTACAATATAAATTTTAGGAATCTAGCATCTAGAGTAGTAACTTTCTCAAAGCCTTAAATCAAAATAGGTGGATTTTATACTTATAAGCCTCTAAACTAATATAGGTCTTTTAAATTCTTTTTGTAAATAAACATACTTTAATTGCAATTGATTATTATTTTAACTTAGCATGGTGGCAAGGGGAGGTTTGAGCTGCATTCAGCATTGCTAGTATTTATTTCTGGCTCTGTGCAGAGGGATCATTCTGGAAGTGCCTGGGTATCATATGCATTGTTGGAGATCAAACAAGGTGAAGACTGAACCAGGGTCAGCAACATGCAAGGAAAATACCTTAACCCCTATATTATCTCTCTGGTCCTTAAATTTGATTCTTACATGTCAAATATGACTGGCTAACTATGGTATTTCAGCAATTACTCCTTGTGGAATTTGTGTTTTGAAAGTGGAAATTAGGTTTTGATCTTGAATAATCTAGAAATATTTTTTGCAAGCTCCTCATCAGATTTCTTCAAACTACATTTTTCTAGGCTAAATGGAGAAAAAGTGTAAGCCACAGCCTCTGTTTCCTAAGGCTGTAAGAACTATCAAATGGCTAGAAACATATGATAATAAGGGATAAGATAATGGGAATGCTTTTGTTGTGTGTGCTAAAAAGGAAGAGCCTCCTATTTTGTCAAGGAAAAAGCAGAATAATTGGCTTGAGAAGGAAATTAGAGAACTAGTAGTACATGCTAGTAACTGAAAGTCAAAATAAGACAACTTGCAAGTGAAGGAACTCAAATGTGTAAATATAATTTCAAGACACTGATTTTTAAAATTATACTTTGTGTTTTTCAAGTACGAATAAGCTCAATTATAGCTCATAGTAAAATATATTAAGCTATCTCCAAAATTATGTTATAAAAATTGCCAAATAATGACAGAAAATTATATTAGAAACTCCATAGGAATTAGCTATATAATAATGTTTATCTCAGTTAATTTGAGATTTGAGTCAAAGGTGTTATATAAAAAAGTTGGAATAAAAGACCATTTTGTTACAAAATATGTTATTTGTTGTTAAAATTATTCAAAGAAATTGAGAGGCCACACTTCTAACATTATATTGTTAGACCTTTTATATGATTATAGGAGTTGAATTACAGAACATAAGTAAAACAATCAGAATCCTACCATTTTTTTAATTCTCTTATACCATTCTACACGGAATTTGTAGAAATAATATCTATTTTCTTCATATCTCCCTGACTAGTTTTGATATGTAGTTAGAATTATGGTATGTAATATTAAGCTGATTAAATTTTGGTAATAAAAAAGTGCCTTAAATGCACATTTATCAAGAAAAACAACAAAGTTAAATATCCCTAAAGTAAAATTAATAAGTAGTAGTTCCTTTAAGATTTATTTTAGATTTTTAAAACAAAAGAGAAAATTACTTTAACAGTAAAAAGTGTTAAGAATGATAATTTATATAATTTTTATTTTTGATAAAATAATAATGTGGTCTCAAATATTTTAAATTGAACTTTTAGTTCTAGAATAATAATAATAATAATAATAATAATAATATCTAGTATAATATTGAACTTAGAAACTAGAATAATATTCTGATTGAGAAAGGTATATTTTATAGTTTCATGGATAATAATTGTATTTTAAGATTTTAGAAAAAAGTCAATTTTAAGATGAAACAATCACACACTAATTTTTTTAGTAAGTGCAAAGAATAAGAAGCTAGGATATAATTAGAAATTGTCAATAATTAAATATTAAAGTTGTTCTGAATGATTGTGGAATCAATTTAATATAACTATAAATGAAAATGGAACAATTCAGTATAAGCTCCCTAAAAACTTTAGAAGAAAATGAAAATTACAAATTTTCCAAAGCACAAACTGAGCTATAGAACTAGGTTTCATTCCTCTAAATTCTGCTGTATACTTAGTAATTTTACATAAATAATTATTAACAACATTCTAGGAATAATACAAATTATATTCAACTTAAACTAGGAACAAATATAATCATTTATATATACTATATATGTATATATATACATACATAATGCAAACATAATAATTGACTCAGAGTTGTTGAAAAGGGAAATTCAATAAAATCCATATTACAGTTTAAGATATATGTTTTCCTAATTTATGATCTTAAGGAATTCATAATCTTGCATACATAATAAAATATGTACCACCAAGTCTGTTAATTTAAAGATAAATATTATCAAATGGAGTCTTTAATGTGTAGGCATTATTACAAAAACTTTAGACATATTATTTGTCTTCCAAACAATTCTCAAGAAAGGTACATAAATCACTTATTTTAGAGAAAAACATAATGAAGTTCTTGCATAATTTGTTCAAGATGATATCATTATGTACATGTAAATATACGGATGCATGCCTAAGTCTCATAATAAATTGGGTGTAATAATTCGCATTAAAATTTTTATTCTTATTTTTACATCTAAGGCCTTGGTGTGCTTAAATAAAGCTAGAGCTCTTATATACATATTCTTTCAGAAGAATACATTTATAGAAATCTCCATCTTAATTGAGGCAAGGAATATGCTAGGATATCCCTAAAATATTTTTCTTACAATAATTGAAATCTTAATATATTTTTATATAAATCCTTTAAAACTCCTTTCTGTTAATAATATCAAGATAAAATATAAGTTCTACACATACTCAAACTAATGCAGTCTAAATTCATGTTGCAGCAAATAAAAGTGCAAAAAAATTACTGAACTGGAAACATAATAAAGCTTCATTTAAAATGAGAGTGAGGAGTCAGAGCTCTCTTTCTGTGTCATGCAATCCTGGTAAAAATCTGTTAGTTCTAATATTGATGAGCTAATAAAAATGCCAACACTCTTCAACAAATGGAGATCAATTATACTGTGTCTGGTTTTGAGATACTAAATATGACCATCTTTTGCTTATTTTTACTCCATAATCTGGCTTTAATCTATTATACAGATCAAATGTACTTAGACCAAGAGAGTGAGGAGGAAATTAATCAGTTGTGCTTCTGAGGAAAGTGATTTTATCACAGAGAAATTTAAAACTATTATTTAGTGGGAGTCCTGAGAACCATCTCCATGGGAACTCGCTGTTCTTCACTACATATAATAGCTAAGACCTTATTCTAATATTACTGCTTTAGGGTCTTTCTGACAGATAATTAGTAAAGTATGTTAAGGGCTACAGTCAAGAATTCTACCAGGCACAAGAGCAGAAGATGCTCTCTAACACAAAATCTTCCATATAATAATTGCAGAGCATTTTGACCAAATGCAAATAATTCAATGGATAATTGATTTTAAACCAGTGTTTGCTTTATGAGTTGGATATAATTCAATTAAGACACAATTTCACATGTATCTTAAAATTTTTGAAATAATTATTTAAACTGTATACAATCATATACTCTACACAATCTAGACCTAGATTGACAGGTGTTACCTATTTCTCTCTCTGAATATGAGGTAATACTTACCAATCCTTCCTCACTAATTATCTCTCCATAATTAACTGTCATTTTCAAATGGGATGAGTTGATCTTTCCTCAGCACCATTCTTATTTCAATAATTATCTATGCCCAAATCAGTAGTGGTTGTTTAATTAAACAGATGGCTAAACTGTCACTTAGAGCTTTTGGAGTTTAAAAAGTCACATTTTAATTGGGGACTTTAGATGTGATTGCTGTTGGCACAATATAAGTGTGTCTTTCCTTATATATACTTGTAAAACTCACTACCATATTAACAAACTATTCTTTTTTTGGGGGGGGGGGGTTTAAACCTGTAAACAAAATTGAAGTCCTCGGAGCATCTGCTGTAGGAGGAGGATATATTGCATATTTCTTACAATAATAAAAAAAGTAAAAAAGAATCAAATATGTACACCTATGTGGTTTAACATGGTACTCTCCAGACTACTCTTCAAAAATAGTTTAATCAATATTAGATACTGTAAGATTGGAAGGTGGCTAATATTCACCTAACACATTAACAAACTACTTAAAAATGAAGCAGATAACTTAGTCTGGATAGGGTCCTAATTTAATATTATTTCTGTTTATCTTATTATTTTATAAAAAAAAACCTAATCTAACAATTATGAGGGAGAGAAATCTAAATCCC